TTTGCGCGACCTTGAGTGTCGCGATAAAATTTGTAGTAGTTCAAAAGTTACAGCTCTGATTTGGAAAATATTCTAGACAAAGCAGCAAGAGAATTCATTCTTTTTAATAGATGATTCCTGTCCCATGAAAGTGTTTAATTAGTTGAGCACACGTATACTAAATTCCTAATCTGTTTTCATTTAGTGCACAGTAAGTAAGCAAACTAATGAAAATAGTCTAGCTTACATAAATTCATAAATTATTTGGCTACAAATTACTTACGAATTATCTACAATACTGGAAGAACCGAAAACATAGCCCAGGAAACACAAGTTGATCTTCGAAAGTTGGCCTTGAGGTGTGCGGCTCGTTGAATAAGCGTCCTGTAGTGTCACTATAGACAAACCGGATGAAGCTTTCAAAAGGTTTTGGCATACAATTGAAGCCGAGAGGCGCGTAAATCCGATGGCTCAGTTGGTGTCTTATGGAAGCGCTTCAATGTGAACATAAGTCCAATCTGTTGCATATTCAACGAAATTTCTCCATCAAGACAAACCGAGAGGGAGAAAACCGATCATATCAAAGCAAAACGATGGTTGTATTTGATCGCAGCAAAGAATAGTTGCACAGAANCCAATCTGTTGCATATTCAACGAAATTTCTCCATCAAGACAAACCGAGAGGGAGAAAACCGATCATATCAAAGTAAGATGATGGTTATATTTGATCGCAGTAGAGATGAGTTGCACAAAACCAATCTGGAGGATAGTCCGGGCTGATTAGTCATTTTGCCCCACGCCTTCGTTTGGAAAATGATGGCTCAATTTAAAATGCAGCTGAGGCCACGCCATATAAAGCCGTTATTGAACATCCAACAAAGCATGGCGCGCATTGATTTTACCAACAAATTCCAATCGCGTCACCCGTCCATTTGGTAATGGGTTTATCTCAATGGTGGCCAAAGAGTAATTCAGCATATTGTGAAAGCTGATCTACTGAGCTAGTTTTCTAATGAATTTCTTTTTACCTGCCAAAAGAAGTAAGTATCTACACCGCCTAACGAGTTGGAAGGGAATTGTTTATTGAGCGCATTGTTGTTGGTTTCCTGAATACGCCAATATGGACATAGCAAAATTTCTTGCAATGATAAGGGAGGTTTTTGATAACTGTCACTCCCAAAATGCATTCGCGGAAGTCATATTTTTCACATATGATGGTTAGTATATCAGCTCGCTTGAGGTTGGTGGTAGAAAACGGTTAGACCTAAATAAATATTATTTTTTCAGATTTATGCAGTTTTTAGAGGGGTCAAGTTCAATGCCAAAATCGTTCTCTTACCGCGCAGTAGCTGGGATTTTAATTTAATCGAAAACTTTTCCCTCTATCAAAAACAGGGATAAGTTAGCTACCTTGTCATTGGTCGCCAGTGGTAAGGGTGCGTGGTGTATTAAAGGAAGCTGGCAAATTCTGTTTGGCAGTCAACTTGGTGGATTCCATGCCAAAGAGACTGCCTCCAGTGCTCAAAAACGAAGAAGAGTAAATGGAACATGGACGAGATGAAAGTACAATACCTGTATGAAGTCTATGAATCATTTTAATAAATAAATTACATTTACGTTTTCTACTGTGACTTTGTTATCTGACAACTGATGCACTAGCAACCTTAGTCAAAATCGCGAAATTGTACATTTTAATGGTATGTGGCTAATAGGAGCAGTGACATAAGTGGGTATTACATAAGATATGTTGCGTCTGATGTGGGATAATATCATATTCAATCCCGTGAATGAGGCTGGAAAAACGAAGATTTGAGAGGAACAAATGTGATGAAAATCAGGATGTTGCACGAGT